TGATGCATCTACCAGTATATTTAAAACTGGGTAGAGGGAACAGGGAAACACTGGGGAGCCCCAAATATCAGTAAAAAAAACAGACAGGAGTTATAATAGTTCTAATCCTTCCCCATTGTATCCAAAACTAGAAATAAAATACATTTCATAGATTTTTTTAATGACTTACAATGCGTACTCCAGAGAGTGTCATTTCCGTAGCACAGCCCCCCCATCCAATGGAACTCCTTCCCTCTGTCGCGTTCTCTTACTCTGTCTGCATTTAGGTGAAGTAGACTGAACTTCTACTTTCTCCTAAAACTCATCCCTGCACAGCTACCACCTTTTGGATCACCCCTAACCCTCCTAACTATCTTGTCCTGAATTGTTTTGTAACTGTGCTGTCTCCCTTTATATTGTAAAGTGCTGCATACAAAAAATATAATACTTATAATAAAAAGCAGTAGTGTAGTTTAACCCTTGTTCACCATTTATAATTCTTTTTTCAGCAGCATAAACAGACTCCAGACCCATATATAGCAGCTGATTGTTAGTCCCTCCGGCTGAGAGTCCTGGGTTACTACAGCCCCCAGTTCCACTGTTGGATTGCCACACAATACCACACTATATACGGGTATATATATATATAGAGATATAGATATATCTATATATAGATATATCTATATCTATATCTCTATATATACACGTATATAGTGTGGTATTGTGTGGCAATCCAACAGTGGAACTGGGGGCTGTAGTAACCCAGGACTCTCAGCCGGAGGGACTGAGCAGTTCCAGGAAACAAATTATTTTGCTGGGAAAGAACTGGCTTTGCAGTTCTCTCCAGAAAACCTGGATTTGGTATGGGATCCTGGAACTGGGAGATTTCAAAGAGGAGGGATGAGGAGGGATGAAATCTCCATTCCTGGGTTCATGGTTTAGTAGGGGCCAGCACCTAATGATTGCACACCTGTGCATAGCCCTTATGGAACGGGTGCTGGCTAATGCTCTGGGCTCCTGGTGGGAAGAGGGACAGTTTCTGTCTAGGAGTCAGGCGGACTCCACCCAGAAGCCAGAGTGAACCCAGGAGGCTGTGTATGTGTTGGAGGTGCCTGGGAATCAGCCAACGAGGATTAGTGAGCCTGGGACACACAAGGGATGTGTGGAAGAGTCTTTAAAAAAAATGCAAAAAAAAAATATTTTGAAAAAAATGTGAAGATTTGCCAGTGCTGTTTTCAATACTGCACTACTCTGATGATCATAAGTATTCAATGAAAGTGAAGCTGTGATGATTTCAATGTCAGAGGTTAGTTTTTAGCTCCAACATTTCAATCTTCACAGTTTCCTTTTAACTAGAAGGAAAGCTATAAAACCTAATAGTCTATGGTATGCACATATATCACGCAGTGATAATGGATTATTGTAGTAAAACACTTACCAAAATAAATCTTTACTTTGCTTCTTTAGGGTTTTGCCTTCATTGTCCTGTTGTGGTGGACAACGGTGATCCAGAGATACAGACATTGATTAGGAAATTTATTGAAGAATATAATTTAAAGAACCACACAAAACTTTATAATGTTGTCAATGTTACAGAAGCTACTAGAACAATGGTATGTACACTAATGGCAAAATGCCCAGAACTGTTGAAACTGAAGGTCAACCTTGTGATGCATTCTCAGAGTAGGGCCTACATGCTGAGTAGTTCAGTTTTCAGATAGATATTTCAGTTCTTCAGTAATCCACCCCACTCCCTGCAATGCACCTCCTGGGGATGCTGGAACACCCATCCAAGGCACTTTACTGCCTCTTACATTTAAAAAGCCGGAATTCCTGAGAATGTACACTCCTTCTGGCCCTGTAGAAGTGTTTGTTCTTATTTTGCAGGGGTTTACACAAAACTCATATTAAGTACATTTTCAGATTTCAGCACCATCGCTGAATACTTTTATTCTATTTATTTAGAATATTTTATTCTATTGTTGACTGAAATAGGAGCTCTGGCTGCAATGCTTACCCTTCAATCTGGCGCTATCCCCTGCTGCGATTCTATTTTACCACAAGATGTCACTCGTTTTCCAGATTGAATGATGCCCAGCACCCACTTCCCGTGTGTGTAGGGCATCAATGGCCTGTCCCTATGTGCCCTGCAGTATAATGATGCAGAGGGCCACCTTTTGCCAGGGAAGAGGCAAGAACGAGCAAGAGGAAAAGTGGGTTTAGAAGAAAAAGAGAAGATCTGTTACAAAAAGCCCTGCTATCACACACTTTTAAGTGTGTTCCCTGCTGGGTCCTGTGCTTCCTCCCACAATTCACTACTGTGCATTTTGGTGCGCTGTGTTGCTAAAAATGGTGCAAGCCCCCTTTTGCTGTGTGTTCTGGTGTGTTAGGCAGATGGAAAATTAATTATTTTATATTGTATTGTATATAATAAATATTGTATTTCCATAACATAATACAAAATATTATTTTTTTACTTTAAGCATAGTTTTACATAAATATTAATGTATATACTGTATAACTGTCATAGTTCCAGAGACAAATTCCTACTGTTAATCAAAAGCTGTTGTCTTACAATGGACCTATACTGGAGTACACGATTCACACACACCCCTCCTTGCATATCAAATATTTAGTTCATGTTATATCTAATGTATAATTTCCCAATATAAACCATGTGGTATTAGCAGAGAGAAATACAGTAAATTACAATATCATAAACTCTTTTTAGCATTTTTGAATATTCTCTAAAAAAAAAACACTTGAAATCTGGTACCTATCCTATATAGCTTCACTTTAAACTAATAATGATATACATAAAGTTTGTACTTTTGTCAGAACTGTGATCAAATCTTACTGGTTATAAAAAATTAAGTTCAGGAGGTCTGAAGATAAATCGTAGACATGTGCCCTGCCAAAAAATTCACTTCACTTTGTTTAGTTTCATTTCAGATTTTTCGTTATTTAATTGTTCAGGATTCGGGTCTAGAAGTGAGTTTGTTTCAGGATTCGGATTCAGACAAATCCAAATTTTCCATTATGTCGGATAAGTTAGATGATATTTACGAACAAATTTTCGTTACAGCAAAGTGGCATTAGAAACTAATATTTTTCTTTGTACTTTTTATAGTCCACAGAAACAATACAAAAAACAGTGTGCAGCTTTCCATCCCCCCCAACTCATACCAAAATCTTTCAGGGGTGGTAGGAATTTTAGGGAGGATCCCAATTCCCGTAAAATATTCGAATTTCCGAAAATTTGTCCGAATTTTTGAATTCAGAACTAAAGGAATGATGCATGACTAATAAATAGGATGATTTGCAGGTTTACAATTTGATTCAGCTGTTCCATGGAATTTGGTGTAATTTGTCTGATTTTTAAAACTCTAGGAAGCAGAGAAGAAAAAGTTTAAATTAAAGTTCACAATTCAAGCCACCAACTGTTCAAAGTCCGGCCATGCTATTCCGGGAGATGAATGTGCCATTGAACAACAAAGTGTAAGTTTAACAAAGAAAATTTAAATTATGACCTCTCTCTCTCTCTCTATCTATTGTGATGTTTGGGGAATTTAGCACAAATGGCGAGCGCTCAAAGACCAGTCTCAAAGCCACGTTAGCATAAAACAAAAGAGTCTTTTATTGCTTCCGGAACAGAAAGTAGCTTTTCGTCAGCAAAACAGCATGCAGTCAATAACTGTATAACCATGTCTCACCAACTCAGCATGGTCACATATACTGCATGTGACTCTTCCACACATCCCTTGTGTGTCCCAGGCTCACTAATCCTCGTTGGCTGATTCCCAGGCACCTCCAACACATACACAGCCTCCTGGGTTCACTCTGGCTTCTGGGTGGAGTCCGCCTGACTCCTAGACAGAAACTGTCCCTCTTCCCAGCAGGAGCCCAGAGCATTAGCCAGCACCCTTTCCATAAGGGCTATGCACAGGTGTGCAATCATTAGGTGCTGGCCCCTACTAAACCATGAACCCAGGAATGGAGATTTCATCCCTCCTCATCCCTCCTCTTTGAAATCTCCCAGTTCCAGGATCCCATACCAAATCCAGGTTTTCTGGAGAGAACTGCAAAGCCAGTTCTTTCCCAGCAAAATAATTTGTTTCCTGGAACTGCTCAGTCCCTCCGGCTGAGAGTCCTGGGTTACTACAGCCCCCAGTTCCACTGTTGGATTGCCACACAATACCACACTATATACGGGTATATATATATATAGAGATATAGATATATCTATATATAGATATATCTATATCTATATCTCTATATATACCCGTATATAGTGTGGTATTGTGTGGCAATCCAACAGTGGAACTGGGGGCTGTAGTAACCCAGGACTCTCAGCCGGAGGGACTGAGCAGTTCCAGGAAACAAATTATTTTGCTGGGAAAGAACTGGCTTTGCAGTTCTCTCCAGAAAACCTGGATTTGGTATGGGATCCTGGAACTGGGAGATTTCAAAGAGGAGGGATGAGGAGGGATGAAATCTCCATTCCTGGGTTCATGGTTTAGTAGGGGCCAGCACCTAATGATTGCACACCTGTGCATAGCCCTTATGGAAAGGGTGCTGGCTAATGCTCTGGGCTCCTGCTGGGAAGAGGGACAGTTTCTGTCTAGGAGTCAGGCGGACTCCACCCAGAAGCCAGAGTGAACCCAGGAGGCTGTGTATGTGTTGGAGGTGCCTGGGAATCAGCCAACGAGGATTAGTGAGCCTGGGACACACAAGGGATGTGTGGAAGAGTCACATGCAGTATATGTGACCATGCTGAGTTGGTGAGACATGGTTATACAGTTATTGACTGCATGCTGTTTTGCTGACGAAAAGCTACTTTCTGTTCCGGAAGCAATAAAAGACTCTTTTGTTTTATGCTAACGTGGCTTTGAGACTGGTCTTTGAGCGCTCGCCATTTGTGCTAAATTCCCCAAACATCACAATAGATAGAGAGAGAGAGAGAGGTCATAATTTAAATTTTCTTTGTTAAACTTACACTTTGTTGTTCAATGGCACATTCATCTCCCGGAATAGCATGGCCGGACTTTGAACAGTTGGTGGCTTGAATTGTGAACTTTAATTTAAACTTTTTCTTCTCTGCTTCCTAGAGTTTTAAAAATCAGACAAATTACACCAAATTCCATGGAACAGCTGAATCAAATTGTAAACCTGCAAATCATCCTATTTATTAGTCATGCATCATTCCTTTAGTTCTGAATTCAAAAATTCGGACAAATTTTCGGAAATTCGAATATTTTACGGGAATTGGGATCCTCCCTAAAATTCCTACCACCCCTGAAAGATTTTGGTATGAGTTGGGGGGGATGGAAAGCTGCACACTGTTTTTTGTATTGTTTCTGTGGACTATAAAAAGTACAAAGAAAAATATTAGTTTCTAATGCCACTTTGCTGTAACGAAAATTTGTTCGTAAATATCATCTAACTTATCCGACATAATGGAAAATTTGGATTTGTCTGAATCCGAATCCTGAAACAAACTCACTTCTAGACCCGAATCCTGAACAATTAAATAACGAAAAATCTGAAATGAAACTAAACAAAGTGAAGTGAATTTTTTGGCAGGGCACATGTCTACGATTTATCTTCAGACCTCCTGAACTTAATTTTTTATAACCAGTAAGATTTGATCACAGTTCTGACAAAAGTACAAACTTTATGTATATCATTATTAGTTTAAAGTGAAGCTATATAGGATAGGTACCAGATTTCAAGTGTTTTTTTTTTAGAGAATATTCAAAAATGCTAAAAAGAGTTTATGATATTGTAATTTACTGTATTTCTCTCTGCTAATACCACATGGTTTATATTGGGAAATTATACATTAGATATAACATGAACTAAATATTTGATATGCAAGGAGGGGTGTGTGTGAATCGTGTACTCCAGTATAGGTCCATTGTAAGACAACAGCTTTTGATTAACAGTAGGAATTTGTCTCTGGAACTATGACAGTTATACAGTATATACATTAATATTTATGTAAAACTATGCTTAAAGTAAAAAAATAATATTTTGTATTATGTTATGGAAATACAATATTTATTATATACAATACAATATAAAATAATTAATTTTCCATCTGCCTAACACACCAGAACACACAGCAAAAGGGGGCTTGCACCATTTTTAGCAACACAGCGCACCAAAATGCACAGTAGTGAATTGTGGGAGGAAGCACAGGACCCAGCAGGGAACACACTTAAAAGTGTGTGATAGCAGGGCTTTTTGTAACAGATCTTCTCTTTTTCTTCTAAACCCACTTTTCCTCTTGCTCGTTCTTGCCTCTTCCCTGGCAAAAGGTGGCCCTCTGCATCATTATACTGCAGGGCACATAGGGACAGGCCATTGATGCCCTACACACACGGGAAGTGGGTGCTGGGCATCATTCAATCTGGAAAACGAGTGACATCTTGTGGTAAAATAGAATCGCAGCAGGGGATAGCGCCAGATTGAAGGGTAAGCATTGCAGCCAGAGCTCCTATTTCAGTCAACAATAGAATAAAATATTCTAAATAAATAGAATAAAAGTATTCAGCGATGGTGCTGAAATCTGAAAATGTACTTAATATGAGTTTTGTGTAAACCCCTGCAAAATAAGAACAAACACTTCTACAGGGCCAGAAGGAGTGTACATTCTCAGGAATTCCGGCTTTTTAAATGTAAGAGGCAGTAAAGTGCCTTGGATGGGTGTTCCAGCATCCCCAGGAGGTGCATTGCAGGGAGTGGGGTGGATTACTGAAGAACTGAAATATCTATCTGAAAACTGAACTACTCAGCATGTAGGCCCTACTCTGAGAATGCATCACAAGGTTGACCTTCAGTTTCAACAGTTCTGGGCATTTTGCCATTAGTGTACATACCATTGTTCTAGTAGCTTCTGTAACATTGACAACATTATAAAGTTTTGTGTGGTTCTTTAAATTATATTCTTCAATAAATTTCCTAATCAATGTCTGTATCTCTGGATCACCGTTGTCCACCACAACAGGACAATGAAGGCAAAACCCTAAAGAAGCAAAGTAAAGATTTATTTTGGTAAGTGTTTTACTACAATAATCCATTATCACTGCGTGATATATGTGCATACCATAGACTATTAGGTTTTATAGCTTTCCTTCTAGTTAAAAGGAAACTGTGAAGATTGAAATGTTGGAGCTAAAAACTAACCTCTGACATTGAAATCATCACAGCTTCACTTTCATTGAATACTTATGATCATCAGAGTAGTGCAGTATTGAAAACAGCACTGGCAAATCTTCACATTTTTTTCAAAATATTTTTTTTTTGCATTTTTTTTAAATACTCATGTTCTATGTGTAGGCATTGTATACATTGTGTAACATACAAGCATCTCAAACCTTTTCAATTTTAATGAAAAAGTAGGCATCCCTTTTACCCTTAGCAGTGTGTTTTAGAGGTGCACTGAAATGAAAATTTCAAAACCGAAATAAAAAAATGTCAGGGCAAAACCGAAACTGAAACCAAAAATGTTTTTTATTTTAATTTTTTCAAATATTGTATTATTTATTTTTTAAACTTTTTAATTTTTAATATTTATTTTTATTCATTTTTTATTAAATATTTTTATTTTTTACTTTACTTTTATGGGCTTCGGGTAAATATTAGGGGTCTTAACAGACCCCTGATATTTCCCTTTTAAAATGGAAAAAGAGATTGAGGACACAAAGTCCTCTATCTCTTTTTCTGCATCCCCAGTTATGAATGAACAGGAATCCTCTATACTGAGTGTTCCTGTTCATTGATAACATGAGGACATTGTGTGTTTACTATAACCACAATCATGAATGAACAAGAGGTGATGTAGATCACTTCAAATTAATTCATAATTGATGATATAGTCAACATGCTATGTCCTCAATTATCTACAAACACTCAGCAATCACTAATCGCTGAGTGTTTGTACCGCTCTCCTTCCTGACAGCTGTCACAGGAGGCTGAGCGAGCAGTGCGGGAAGAGGGCTCAGCCGCCTGCGACGGCGCTGGCTGTCTCCTCCCACACCGCTCTGCTGGACTGTGACAAGAGGCTGAGCGGTGTGGGAGGAGAGACGCTGGCCGCTCACAGCTCTCTCCTCCCGTTGCACTCGGCCGGCTTTCACATTCTCTCCTCCCCACTGGGACACAGAGCAGCGCCCAGCGGGGAGGAAAGAAAGCAGGGATGCGCCGCTGTATCGGCACAAAAGTGTCGCTTTCGGCATTTAGCCAAAAGTGCAATTTTCGGCCGATATGTTTCGGCGGTAGATATATCAGTGCATCCCTAGTGTGTTTGGAGGGCTCTTCTGTTTCAGACCCATGGTGTTTAACTTTGTGTCATCCTAACAGTAAGGGGGGAATTTATCAAAACTGGAGCAGACAAATTCTGGAGCACATTTGCACTGCAACCAATCAGCTTCTCTGTCTCATTTTCAAATCTTGCCTGAGCAAATTGAAGAGAGATGCTGATTGGTTGCCAACTGGGCAACTGCTCTACATTCTGTCTGCTCCAGTTTTGATAAATTCCCCCCTAAGTGTTCTTCAATGTATATCAACTTTCTTCAGCAGAAAACTGACAAACTTAAAACTAAAACCTAAACTAAAAATAACATGCAGTCCCTTTGGATTACAAGCCTTCTATTGACTTTCATCATCTCGCTTACAAATATTGTGAAACACAAGAGCAGCAGTCAGTTAGCAAGGCTATAGGCAATCTGAGAAGGAAAACGATCACAGATGGGCTAAATCAGAGGGCAAAAGAGTGTCCCCTTTTAATTGAAGGTAAAAAAAACTATGTTAAAATGGGCCTCTCTATAAATTGTAGTATAAAGGTGAGATTGCATTTACATTTAACACATTGTGGTTGATTTACTAAAGTAGTGGGCCATGTTCACTTTGCAAACTAAATTTTCACTTAGATTAGAAGTGAGGTGAAGCTAAGTGAAATCTCACTTTGCCAAGAATACCCATCATATGCTAGGGAAAAATGTTTTTAAAAATCCAGATTTTTTTTACCCACACATGATTGAATGGTTGAAGGCAGCACAGCTACGCCTCATTCAAGCTAAAATTCAGTAAAGTAAACATGCTCTAGTCCTTTAGTAAATCAGCCCCATCGTGTCAGTTAAAGAAAATCACTTGAAGGCAAAAAAAATTGCTAAAGGTATTGACTACAATATTGTATAGTGCCATAATATTTGCTTCTTAACTGCTTATATAAAAGGATATTGAGTACTGCTGCATTGAGAAATATCCTGTTTTTATCCAGATTTTATACAATGTATTATTAGATTGAACGCAAGTAAAAACTTAATGATTATTCTTTTCAAACATAAGACTATCTTTCCTGTTCAATAGAGTTTGGCCCTTCAGAAGTGTACAGCATCAGTGGAATGGCCATTACATGACCTGTAGTCACCAAATCAGTATTATGCCCCTTTTCACACTATCCAATCAGTAGGGGATCCGTGCATGGATCCCCTCCTGATCGGAGCAGTACGGATCGGATGTCACCTCTGTGACATCTGTGTCCGTCCAGTGACTGGACCAATGACCGGACCCCATATGGGACTATGGGGAATCGGATGTAAATCGGCATTTACATCAAATTACCCCCAATCCTGCACAATCAGGTCCAGCGAAACAGAACACTGTTCTGTTTGTTTTTCTGGACCTGGCCAGAGCCGGGGGCAACCAAATGAAAACAAACATCCATCTGTTTAGGTCTGTTTGCCCATAGACTTACTTTGGCCATCCGATTAGGTCCGACTGATTGGACCTCACATCTAGAAAGTGGCCACCAACACAGTGAAGGAACTTCATTACATCTTTCATTACTACACGCCTAGTGTGTAGGGATAAATTATGATCTTTGCTGAATTACATTTCTAGACTCCATTTTGTCTATGTAATATTATGCATAATGAAACATATTATGAAATGTATCTTCTAAGTAAATATGTTAAAAGATTAGGTACACTACCAGAAGTAAATGACATCTAAAATGACAGGTTGAAGATATTCCACTATACGATCATATTTTATATGTATATTATATTAAAGAAAAACATATATACTATTAAATACAGTTATAGACGTTCTATACATATATGTTAAACACATATACTAAAGACAGCTATAGACTTCAAAACATCTTACATACAAAACATGTTTTAACAAGTAATATTGTAAGGCATTTTTCCTATGGTTGGGTGTTAGCTGTTATCTGTAGGGTGTTAGCTGTTATCTTAAAGTGTTTGGAGAAATTTGCATAAGAGGAATTTTTAGTTTATCTAAACTAAGACACTTGATATGTATACGTAACGTGTGGAACAAATAATGCTGATTTAGGATGTATTTTGTGAAACTGAACAATGATGTAACCTAATCTTTATCTTGATGTATAGACCTATAAAAGCTGTATGAACTAGAGAGGGGTTGGAATTGGCCTGACAAACTATGGCCTTTCCCCATACACGTGTGTCAAATAAACCTTTTATCTGATTTGGATCTACTCACAGACTGTTGCTGTTTTACTCTTAAAATTACCTAATCACTAGAGCTATGCCATCTACAAACTCACTGATGTCACTTGTGAACACCAGCAACAGTGAAAACTGCTCCTGATCCCGACCCTGGCATATCATCTTACAGTGAGGTGTGAAGAATATATAGTGTCACCACTAACCATCTTCAAATCTCCCCCTTTTCCTTTTGTAAGTGGCTCCATTTTACCTTTAGGCCCACCAAGGAGAGTGAACACTGTACATAAAACCATGATAATGCACAAGTGGAAACAATACATAATGGAAAGATAAAGAAAAGAAGCACAGTTAAAACTTTGTGCAGTTATATTTAAAGGAAGTAAAAATACTACTTTAAAAAGCATTTAGTACTGTTTCATCCAATTCTACCTCTACTATGATACACAATCCTTTATTACATATTGAAAAAAGCGGGGGGCTGTAAATTATGTATAAATGGCTCGTAAATGTGTTGCCAGAAGTAACCAATTGGAAGTTTTTTTTCATTTTCTAAATTTGTAATGTTATTACTTTTTATAAATAATGTGTAATCCTGTTTTACACTGATTACTACATATAAGATACAATGGGGCTGATTTACTAAAGGCAAATATATTTTTGCTTGCCCATGTTTGGATGATGGAAGTCAACTAAGCTTCACCTAATTCACTAAGCAAAGTGAAAATGACCTTGCAAAACCCAGAACTGTATGTCAAACAAAATGTATTGCAGGTGATTGGTGTTTTTATGCATATGGTATTGTACATCAAATTTTTACCTGTGCTCAAGTAACATTGTGAATTTATGTCCCTGACTTCTCCATTAGGAGGCAAAAACACCATCGTCAAACAGTGTCCTCTTTCCTATGGAAACAAATTTATTTACAATGTTTAGTATCAATATTTATCAGTATATTTTGTTTCTGCTACTTCTCATAACATATTTAGCCTTTATATAGAGTGTTTTGTACAAGTGTACTGAATAACAATTCTTACACTGATGTTTTGTTCTATGTTACATTTTGTTTCTAAGAACTGAAACTCAAAATTGATCTTTTTTTAATGAGACACTGATTAACGTATGCTAGAAAGAGATCGAAGTAAAAGGAATACAGCTAATATTAAGCTCTCATTTAATATTATTATTAGAGTTTGCTTTTGCACTAATAAAACTTTGGGACCTATTAGTAAAGCAGCCAAATTTGAATGTTGTTGCTTTTTTAAGTCGGATTTTACAAGTTTGATTTGGGGCTGTTAATAAAGACTTTTAGGCATTATTTCTACCCAATTTTACCCTAATTTTAAAGCTTTCACAATTCCCTTATTTCTGTGTATTTGTTTCAGATTCTTCTTACCGTTATGGAAATGAAGACTTATTTTCTGGAGAAAATGTTACTAGTTTTACTATGAACTAGTGAAATTCACTGGCTATAAGAACAGCTATGGAAAAGCATGTCATTAAAGGACATGCCAAGAAAACTGTAAGTGTGTGAAATACATTTTTTTGACAGATTTTATAAATCATGGCTCCCTTGATCTTTTTTCACACTATTTCAGTTTCTCATATTTACACATTTTGGGGGGAACAGACAACAACAATGTTAAAAACTGCAGTAAAATTAATCCTTTTCTAAACTTCTTTGCCCATAGCAACCAATAAGCTTTTAACCCTTTTTTCCTGTCTGTGTGCATGTCTGAAATTGAAACATGGATTCTGATTGATTACTATAGACAATTGCTGTAGATAGCTTCCTATCTGTACATTTAATGTACATTAGCCTCTAATTCCTTTGCATTAAAGTAGTATTAAACCCTCACACTTTTTTTCAGTAATGAATCCAGATCAAATAAATATACAGGACATTGCCCAGCAAAGCATTGCTTTACATTTTTGCCCAAACACAATCATCATGTTTATGAACAGCTGCTTCCAAGTCTTTCAGCTCAACTTCCCTAAACTTCCTGTCCAATACTAGATCACAAGGGACAGAGAAGACTCCAACAACTGTTCATCTACTAGCTTGGAGAAGGGAGGAGAGGGGGCCAGGGGGAGGGTAGTAGCTTGATTTGCTGTGTTTGTGGAGACAGAGTTTACTAACGCGCACAAGGGTGACTGCATAGAACTCTGCTTGAGAAAGGAGTCACTAAAACAGTATGTCAGGGCCAGCGCTCAGGGGACCAGATGATTCTACAAGGAAACTAAAACTTTTAAACATCAAGAAGCACCATCCATTGTAAGTGATTTCATCAGCATTTGAAATAGTTTAAAATCCTTTTGACTTTAATATCACTTTAAGTATTGGTTTGCACATTCTGCTTTAAACCATTTCTTACAGTGTGCAAATATGGCACAAACAATTCAAAGGTGCAGTTATTGTTGCTAATTTTTAATTTCATGATTTTGAAATTAAAATATCACTAAGAACTAAATTTCAGTAAAATGTTATAAACAAAAAGAGAGACTTGGTCAATAGTCTGAATACTTTTGCAAGGACGTGGACTTGACAATATCCACTTAACAGGTCAAAGCACTCACCCCATTTATATCAGTTGTGCATACTTCTGTATTCACATTAGCATATACACTCTTAGAACAATTTGTCTGTGTGATATTAAATTCCAGTTTATAGATCCATCCACTGACAACCTGAAACAGATTAAACATGGGTAAGCAAACATGTCTTGTTCATTTGAACAGGAGAGACTGAAATCCTTTCAGAGCTTAGGTAATTCACATATACCACTATCACTTCCTGACTATCTGCTAATTTCTAAAATGCAGATAAAGACACTAACAAATATTTATATAGCTTCCTCTTACTGTATGTCACTACAAAGGGAATAATAGCTCACAGAAGGTCATGGGGGCAAAAGCAGAAATGTAAGCTTAGTTTATTATAGCTTGATTTACATTGCTCCTAATAAGTAACGTAAATACAATTTAAAGAGAGCCTGCCACCAGCTTAAAAAATGCAGTTAAAAGCACAGAAAAAAAGCTTTTAAAAGCTTACCTACAGTATTTTCTCTGCCCATAAACTATTGTTATTTTTGTATTAATTTGCAAATGCCTTTGATTTGCTTTAATTTTTTTTACCTCTCTAGGAGAATCAATTCACTAACAAAGCCCCCTTTCCTGCCATGTCATAGCCCTCTCCTCCCCTGGGAGCATCTAATTGCTCTCTCCTGGCTCAGCTTCTCTACCCCTCCTTTCTTCTTTTTACATAGCCTTTTATGTAGCCAATGGGTAGGAAAGAGTGGGGAATACTATACAGTGCTCTTTGAGTGACAGCTCTGAGTCTGCTGGTACTGTTGACATCACATCCAAGATGACAGTGCCCAGCAACAATCTCAGAGCTTTTAGATTTCTACATAGGAGATGTTTTTATAAGTAAGCGACATGCAGAGAATGTGTTAAAGGCACATATGAGCACAAATTATTATAGGACGATTTTTGTTGAAAGAAATGGTCTGTCAACAGGTCTGTGTGTGTGATATTTCAAAGGGGGCAGTAGGTCAGCCCTCACGATAAATGTTGTTCCCATGTAGAGGTCCCCAGTATTAACTCCATTTACAGAAATACATAGCTAAGAAATACAAAACCGTAACAATTTGCATTAATTTTACTGAAGGGATGTCCAAAAATGCCCTTGGATTAATAAGCGGCCCTGGCACATAGAAGACACCAGTCAAAATCTTTGCAAATGATGGACCTGTGTTAAACCCGCTGGAGTAACATTATTTTTCACTGATTTTATAGCTGGATTATGGCCATATCAGATGATGTGCATGACTGCTCGTCAGAATTAATAGGGCTGGTTCAAAAATCATATCCTGCCTCGTTTGTTCTTCCCTGTGATTAGTTTCTCTTAGCAATATAGCACAAATGCAGACATCCAAGCTGAACGTTTGTGTTATGCATCCAGCAGCAAATACTTGCAGACGGAATAGTATCAGCCCTGCCCACATGTCCTTTGCAAAACCACTCAAACCCCCGCATCCTACTCTTCACAACATATAGGGACTAATTGTTTGGCCATACCAAGGTAAGAACTGGGAGGGCGAATTAGGCTTCTTGAAATAGCACAGGACGTGTGCACAAGACACTGGACAGTTCTGAATTTCTCTTATGTATTTTTTGCACTTATTAAGCAGATATAGCATAAATGCTTTGAATGGTATACTTAACAGACCAAAAGGGAGCAAATAAGAGAAGTTAATTGTTGAGGTTTCCATACACTTTAACTGTTATATGTGGTCACACATTCTTAGCCTCTTTTCCATATTTATTTGCTATTTCACCTTTACTTTTTCTATGTGTTGCAGCTCAGTGATCTTGTGTTCTGTTTTCCTCTAAATGATTCAGGCTATCCCAGCTGTGTATAGAAAGTTCATCTCATAGCTGGTAGAGAACTCTGTGTGGTGGGTGGCACATATACTTACCTTGCGCTCAGCGTTTGTAACACTTTGCAGCTCAAAGTAGAATGGGTGGTTTGCAACTTTGTTCACGTTTTCAATTGCAGATTGTATGATTGTTGACAGCTCCTCATTGTTTGGGTCTATAGGTACATAACACCCCAGGCAAGGAACAACGACAACACTCACAGTAGGTTCTACAACTAGCAATAAAGTATAAAACAGAAATTTACTTTACATAAAAGCAACATGTTGTACGATTGAAGTCATTGAAATACATCTTTAAAAAGAATGTGACAGAAAATGTTCATGTCCATACAGTCAAGGTTTTGTCTGTGCAGGTTTAAGACTACATGATGTATACCAAAAAGCTAGAATTACGCATCAAGTACATATTTAATGAAGACTTTGTTGTAACTTACTTGCCTTATTTATGTTGCCACTGTCACATTCATGTGCAGTCAATTTACTTGTACACTTGCATGCTCATTCAATATGAGAACAATTGATCAATATTTCCAACTTCCAAAATTCTTATGTCTTATGTTTGCTTCAGTATTCTTTATATTCTGCCAAAAACTAATTCCATGTAGGTTTAATTATTAAATGCAGAACGCTTAGTAGTGAATCGGCAATCGATTGCCTCAGGTTTAAGAAAGGGGAACCAAAATCTTGTTGGTTTTGATATTTCACTTTACATCAACATAGTACTTTGCACTACCTTGAATACCACTAAATGTATCAACAAAGATTATTTTCTGCCTAAAAAAAGATCCTTTTTTTATAGCCATGCATAGCATAATGTTACTCATTCAAAAAATATAGCTTTAACAGTATGCTGACATACCTTTAGGAATAATAGAACAGTTTTTGGATAAAACCTTCTTTGTGTTTTGAGCTGTGTCGACCAGAATGTGTGCTGAGCATTCCCCTCTTTCCTGAATGGACAGAATAAGCAGATTAAGGAAGGATACTAGAAAGTACTCCTAAAACAAAATGGAACTGTTTAGCCCTATTGGCCATCTGTAATGAACTTACCTCTCAGGTGTCACGGACTGGGCGTGGAGCTCCGCCTCCCCGCCGGTGAAGTCATACGTCTCCTCCCTCCTAGTCGGCTTAAAGCCATGAAAATTCAGTTGCACAGTGTTCGTGCAATTAAGCTGGACACTGGCAATTGAACCTCTCCATTGACCAGCTCCTAAGACAGCAGTTGTCACTACTGTACAACAGAACATTCCCCTTCCATCTTCTGCTGGCTGCAGATCTTACCTGACACAGCAGTTATCACTAGACATGTGCACTGCCAAAAAATTAGTTTCGTTTCGTTTTAAATTCGGATTTGTGTTATTTCGTTTTTCAGGATTCGGGTGTGAAAGTCAATTCGGATTCGGAATTCGGATTCGGACGAAATTCGGTAGCGTTAGTACGAACGTTCGTTTCGTTTTCTGTTTCTTATTCGTTTCTTATTCGTTTCGTTCGTTTGCAGCAAAAGTGACATTTGAGGGGGAAAAAATATTTTTCTCCTCTAATGTCACTTTGCTCCAACGAACGAAACGAATAAGAACAGAAAACGAACGTTCGTGCGAACGCTACCGAATTTCGGAAATGGAAATTCGGATTCGTTTGCATTCGTTATGTCTGTAATTCGGAATTCGGATACATCCGAATGTCCGAATTTACGAAAATTCGTCCGAATTTCGATTCGGAACGAAACGAATCGCACATGTCTAGTTATCACTGCCGAGATATCCTTTCCATCCCCCTCTGGCAGTAGATCTTCTAACCACTTCCACTGCTGATTCCTTCACAGCAAGCATCTATTCCACACCACAAGTTACCCCTAATGATCTGGGAGAAATTGTATCTGTTACGCTTCCTTCAGATGAAATTCACTGGAGCCTGAAGTTGCCTTGTTCCTGGTTGTTAACCCTTCAGCAGCAACCATGCAAAACTGGAAACCTATTACAGATCCTCCCTTCTATCAACCATACAAGATTGCACCCTTACTTTAAGGACTTCCTTTGTTGTATCTCTGAACTGCAAGTATATATTTTAATTCCTACTTTATTGACTATTTAAGTTTACCTAAAGTTATCTGAGGAAGTGAAGTAACTATTCTCTAAAGAGTTCTGTAGATAATCCTCTGAACTACTATTAACTGGCGAAGCTGTTTTCATGCAACCCTTTGGGGAGGAATTAACCCTTGATTATATCCATAGCTGAGATCCTAAAAATCCAGATATCCCTGCTGAGTGTTACACCATCCTACACATGCTACTCCAAAAGCTTGTAAGCTAAGCTAAGCTAAGCACACAGTCTCCACTACAGGATGTTGGACCTCACAAGAGAAGAGATGTCTCCACACCATTCTGTACTTTTTTTCAATTGTCAGGCTGCCTATTGATCCCCCTTCACAGTGGGTGGAGGCAAAGATAGCAAAATTGTCTGGCATTGCTTTGTCACTTGACACACTGGTGAGTCTTGCAAACCATCATTTACAACTCCACCAGCTGCCTCTTGCAGTGCTGCACTAGACTTTAGGGGCAACTAGTAGAAGCACCTTGTCAGGAACTTTGTTCCAGCCAGAGTTGAACTCTAGCACCTGCACATGTGTGCTTGTGCACAGTTCTGCACATAATGTGCATGGCCATGCACCTACATGGTGCGTATGCATGTCCATGCAAGTGTCTCTTGGTGTGTGCACGGTTGTGCATGCACGCTCATTGCCTGCAGTGGTGACCAACTGTTTTTTTTTAAACTTAGGCTCTGCTGTCACTCTTCTGTTACTTGTGATTCTGCATCCTGACTCTGATCTCTTCCAGCCTAGGAGACATTGACAGATTCAGATTTCTGCACAGATGCAGTGCATGGAGTGACCAGGTTGACACCCTAGGCAGGAAGTATGTTAATAGAGAATGATATCAATCTCCCACCATGCGGAAGCTCAGATCTCCTGGTTTACACAGGTGCTATAGAGAAACTGAATGGAAACTTCCAAAAGAGGGTCACACATACTGTATGTTAAAACAAATATAAAATATCAGTTTCAAACATAAACATAAACTAGAAAAAGAAAAAAAATGGATACCAAAACATTATAGCTTTCCTTTAACCCTTTTGCTGCTCCATGACTATTATGGCAGCCGACTGACTCCCGACTGCTGGCTTTCACGTAGAAGTGATTTAAGTGGCTCTAAAGCTGCTAGATCATTTATATACACTTGTAATGGAGTCCCCTCTGCCACGTGTCCCAGGCTCAACCGCCCCCCTGGGGGACTGAAGAACTTGTCAACTGGACTATGCTACCACATAAGGAGCCTGTCAGTCCACTGACGATAGCAATAATGTTAAAAAAACCTTAAAAAAATGTTTTAAAGCCCACTATGTACAAGTACATACAAACCCAAATGCACATATCGGGTATGCACACACAATCTCATAGTTTATATTGTAACCAACCCCCCCAAAAATGGTATTATATTGCGCTTGCATGCACTAAGGCTCAATTCACACTAGTGTGAGCATTTACAGGCAATTTTGCAGCGTTTTTTATTTGTGCGTCCTTGTGTATTTGTTCAGACATAGTCAAGCTTGAGTGTCTTTGTTTTACCCAATGAAAAGCTAGGTATTAGGAGAAGGAGAGGGTTGTTTAGCTTTCAAAAACACACATTTTCAGGTGTTTTTCAGACCCTTCTTTTGAAGCTTCAAGTGACAAAACCCTCAAGTGCCAATCAGGGCTAAAATTTGATAAACAGTAGTGCAAATATCATGTAACATAAAAAAACAATGACCACCATTTTATTCTACAGAGTCTGTACTTTCAGAAAATATATAATGTTTTGTGGAATTAAGTGCATGGTCTTGTAAAAAATGCGCCTTATAGTGCGCACAAGAATGCAAACATGGTTCTGGCAGCAAAAGGGTTAAATGGACACACAAGCTATTATAGCCATATTGACTTACAGCATCTTCTGATTTGAAGTCACATTGTTTCCAAGATGTATAAGCTTTCAATGGGCACACACTTTCTCGTATTTCAAAATTCACAAACTGATCTGTTAGGTTGTCATTTTCTTGCTGATAGTTAAAAAAAAACGGAAAACATGAAAATGCGGTATCTTTGATATTTTTGAATTTAGACACGCATGATATTATTATTCACTCACAATCACATGATTATCACTTTTTTTTACATCACTCTTTGTAAAACATTTTATGATTTTACAATTTTTTAAACATAATAAATATAGTAACACAAATGGACAACTCTCAACACACCTTCTTAGTGCCAACTGTTCTTTTTATTAAGGTAGTCATGTTAAAGTGTATTTCCACTTTTGTAGCCAAATTGGTATAACTACTTTAGATTTGGTGTATGTTCCCATTCACATAGCATAACTTAAAAATTGATGCTTTTACATTCTCTTTTCTCAATACTCCAAATCTGAAGTTTTCCCATTTAATGTATTGTGAAGGAAGGGGCTGGAAAGTTAAGGTGTACCATTAATAACCCTAACTGTGCTGGCAAATATTTTCTGTTGTAAATCAGATTGAAACACGGTCTGTCCTAACAAAGGGTTAATATCACAAAGCTTAGGTTCTGCATTGTATGTTAATGCACTTTATCTTTGTCTGTCCCCACTTGTTCCCCATCTACTTTAACTTTAAAATTGTTCAGAATAGATTTCAGTCTGCTCCTCAAAGGCCTGCCCTGAAGAAACAACTAGAAAAGTAAGAAATATTTTTAAATAAATTATGTCGGTATGCTGTGTGAATGGGAACATATAGTGGAGGCTTTTTCAAATATGACTGCAAAAGTGGAAATACACTTTAAAGCTTATTCTTAGGGTTATCTATCCCCATTAATCATTACTCATCCCACCCTTCTCGGCCTTTTGGCTAAGATCAAGTGTAGTATCTGTTCTTATCAGTTGTTGGAGGGGAAAGGATGCTGCCATCCGATGGGAGAGCATTCTAGTACCCTCTGACGTAAAGGTGGGTGCCAGAGGAAAGTTCTGTCTACTGTTGGTAGCGTCAGGCCCTGAGGGGTAGACCCCAGACAGTGGGAGAACCTACGATGCTGCTACCTTCTTATGTGGGCGGAGAATCACTTGGTCTGGCTGGAGGGTTGGGAGGCGTCAGAGCCCGTGGTGCTGTGCCCCCTGGGGGTGGCGTCCCAGGGGTGCTCAGAAAGTCACTTGGGTGTGGGACCCCACTTTGACTCATTGTGCACATGGACACGGCACCATATTGCATATGCTGCACAACGCCTCTTGGATAGGCCTTATGGCTAGTCTGGAGCAATATTTTATTTTTGCACTCAGGCCCCTAGGGCCTGTCAGCGTGGTGCACTGGCACTTTTTATTTATTTATTGCACCTTATGTACGAATTGGCACTTTTTGATTGAAAATTTTGACCCACAGATTGACTGAGGGTGCAGGCTCCTTCGGGGCCTTTTCCCGACGTTGGGGAGGAGATTCTGTGCCCTCATATAGGGTTCTCTGTCTCCTCCCGCCTCTGGGGGTTTCTCTTTGGGAGATTCTCCAACCTAGTACTTGTGGGACCTGATTCGGCAGGTCCCGAAGGATCGAGGTCCACTGGCCTTCGTCTCAACCCCTGTCAGGAGCCTTGAAGGACCAAGCACCCTTGTGCACGTTTTTGTGTGCTGTGATTTCAAGGTTCACTTTTTTTGTTTACAGGGGCTCTTAAAAAATCTATATGCTACACATAGAACTAATAAATAGAAAATGTACCTACCCTTATCTTGGCCTCTGTGATTCTGTACAAAATAAACTTGTTTCCATCAACTTTTTCTCCATTGTATGATTTGAGTGCTTCATCTACCGCTTCAAAAATACTCTCGTTATCACAGTCCACGTCAGTAACTGAAACTGGAACAGCAGAACCTAAGGAGCAATAAGAGAAAAGGAGCAGAATGGGTAGGAGCCCCATTGCTGACAGAGAATTTGTGAAAGACTGCTCAGGAAAATGTGAGCATATGAACCCCAGGCAAAAGCAAACAGAACAATGCTTGAACAGAGAACGGTCAGTAAACTCTGACATGTCTTACCCAATCCCACAATACAAACTCCAGTATAGGATTAAATTGTCAATAGTTGTGTGTGTGGCCAGTGCACGTCATAAAGGTTGTCCACCTTTACTAGTATTAACAGAATTTCATGACTTCTACTGAAACAAAAACATCCAGTAAATCTCTGTAATACACGCATATTTGCCCATTTTTTATCCATTTAAAGTCCCTACAAGTACAGAAAAATTCCTGTTGATCTGCCAAAATGCACTCGGCACCTAATTTCCTGTTGTGGACTGACAACACACAGAGTTTTGTGGTCTCGGATAACAATAAATTGTGTCAGCCCTGCTCAGTTATGTTTTTCTAAACTACTGAATACTCCAATATTCAATAGTAGTCCAAGATAAGAACTGGGGAGGGTTGATTAGGCTCCCTAAAATAACACTGGAAATGTGAACAAGACACAGGGCAGCTCTGAATTTCTGATGTGGTCAACAGTTTTCTTTTTTTTTTTTGCATCTATTAACCACTTGCTGACCGGGGTGTTTATACCCCCTTCATGTCCAGGCCATTTTTCAGTATTCAGCGCTGCGGTACTTTGACTGACATTTATTCCGTCATGCAACGCTGTACTGAAATACATTTTATACCATTTTTTGGGGACAGATAGAGCTTTCTTTTGGTGGTATTTAATCACCACTATGGGTTGTTTTTTTTTACTACATAATGAAAAAAGTACCTAAAATTTTTTTTAAAATACTGTTTTCCCTACGTTATGTTTTAAAGCATTTATTATTACCCAAGTTTTTGCTAAAATATAAAAGACGGGGTCACGTTGGGTAAATAGACACCAAACATGTCAAGCTTTACAATTGCGCGCACCCGTTAAATCGCTAAAAACTACCATACTCAAAATTGACCATAGCCGATGATTTAAAAGCTTTTACCGCTCATCAGTTTAGTGTTATCAGTGATTGATGACCCTAGAATTATTGTTCGCACTCGGACGTTCACGGCGATATATAACATGTGCGGCTCAACGGATGTAATTGCCGTTTTCGCAAGTAGGCGGGCTTGACGCATGTTTGCTTGTGCATGTGGGGCGGGGGACTTTAATTTTTTATTTATTTATTGCTTTGATATGTGATTTTTTATTTTTTTGTGTAACTTAAAATCTTTTTTTTTCTTCACTGAACTTTATTGCTATCACATAAACATATATAAACGCTTTTACTTGTATATTTAACAGAGAAAAAATTAGCATTCTGGAATGGGCATGCTTCTGTCAGTACACTAACAACTACATTTTCAGTTTAAATTAAAGGAGAACTATGAGGTGAGTGCTTTTCACTCACCTCATAGTTCTAGCCGACCTGTGACAATGAGACTGTCACATGTCGGCTCATTAGATCAGGAGGTGAGCGAACATATACCGACGTTCGCTCACCTCTCGATCCTGTCACGGCTCTCTGCCGTGACAGGGGAGGGGCTGGATTCCCCCCACCCCGCTCCGATCCGCCAGCGCTGACTGGCGGAACGGACTGGGAGGGGGTGGGTACAGCTGGCTCTGCCTCTAGATAGGCAGAGCCAGCTGTCACTCACTCAGCTGGGCGGATCCCGACATCGATGTTGGGATCCGCTCCGGGTGCGGTGTCTCAGTATACCACGAGCTGTAGCTCGCGGTATACTGAGCTTAGTGTAATGGGAGGACGCTAGTTTGTGTCCTCCCGTTACCCTAAGGAGAACTATGGGGAAAAGCCCTGACCCCATAGTTCTCCTTTAAGTAAATACAACCCAAATTCCAAAAACGTTGGGGTTTGTGTAAAATCTACCTAAAAACAGAATGCAATGATTTGCAGATCTCATAAATCCATATTTTATTCACAATAAAGAATAGAAAATATATGCAATGTTTAAACTGTAAAAAATTACAATTTTAAGAAAAAAAAAACTAACTTTGAAATCGATGACAGCAACACATCTCAAAAAAGTTGGGACAGGCCCATGTTTACCACGATGTAGCATCCCCTCTTCTTTTAACAACACTCTGGGAGCTGAGGAGACCAGTTGCTGGAGTTTTGGGAATGTTGCCCCATTCTTGCCTGATATAGGATTCTAGCTGCTCAACAGTCCTTGGTCTCCTTTGCCCTATTTTTCATTTCAAGATGCATCAAATATTTTCAATTTGGTGAATGGTCTGGACAGCAGGCAGGCCAGTTAAACACCTTCTACTATGAAGCCATGCTGTTGTCATAGATGCAATATGTGGTTTAGCATTGTCCTGCTGCTGAAATATACAAGGCCTTCCCTGAAAAAGACGTAGTCTGTATGGGAGCATATGCTGCTGTAAAACCTGCATATATCTTTCGGCATTGCTGGTGCCTTTCCAGATCTGCAAGCTGCTCATTCCATACACACTAATGCACCCCCATACCATTAGAGATGCAGGCTTTTGAACTGTGCGCTGACAACAAGCCAGAAGGTTTAGTCCGGAGGACGTGGCGCCCATGGTTGGCAAAAAGAATATCAAATTTCGATTAGTCTGACCACAGAACAGTTTTCTACTTTGCGACAGACCATTTTACATGAGCTTTGGCCCAGGGGAGGCGGTGGTGTTTCTGGATCATGTTCAGATAAGGCTTCTTCTTTGCATGATAGAGCTTTAACTTGCATTTTTGAATGGCACAGTGAGCTGTGTTCACAGACAGTGATTTTTTAAAGTATTTTTTAAGCCCATGCAGTGATGTCCATCACAGAATCATACCTGTTTTTAATGCGGTGCCATCTGAGTGCCCGGGCATCCAATAATGCATTTTGGCCTTGTCCTTTGCGCACAGAGATTTCTCCACATTCTCTAAATTTTTTTATGATATTAGGGATGCACCGATATATCGGCGCCGAAAACATATCAGCCGAAAATGGCACTTTTGGCATAATGCCGAAAGAGCCATGTTTCGGCCGATACATCGACGCATCCCTGGTTTCTTTTCTCCCTGCTGAGAAAGTGACTGCCGGCCGAGCGCTGCAGGACGAGAGCGCTGTGAGCGGCCGGCGTCTCTCCTCCCACACCGCTCAGCCGCCTATCACAGTCCGGCAGAGCGGTGTGGGGAGACAGCGCTGTCACAGGAGGCTGGGCTTTCCTCTCTACACCGCTCGCTCAGCCTCCTGTGACAGCGTGTCAGAGAGAAAAGCAAGGTACACACACTCAGCGATCAGTGATCGCTGAGTGTGTGTACATAGTTGAGGATATGGTATGTTAACTATATCCTCAATTATGAATGAATGGGAGTGATCTACATTCCCCCGGCCCGCGCCCCGCTACCGGTCCGTGGATCAAATGTTACCGGGCCGCAGGCGAAGCAGCGCTCCCGACTCTGCTCTGCCCAGCTCCGTGTCACAGACTTTACTGCGGTTCATTGTGAACTGCGGTAAAGCCTGTGCCACGGAGGAGGGACAGCTGTATGTTCTGGCCAGTGGCGTAACAACCTGGGGGGCGGGCGGTGTGCAGGGCCTGTGGGGGTCTCTGCAGGATCTGTGGGGGGGCTTTGCAGGAGACAGCTTACGGAGACCCG